TTTCAACCCGCCGCCTCTTTTCTCCATTATTGAACTGCTAGGCTGTTGCTTATTTGCGTTTGAGATTGTGCTTTTCAAACAAGAGGAGAGAATGAAGAGAGTGCCTATAGTAGTGTGTCTGTGTGGAGTTAATTTCCGAATGAAGTGAGGGAAGAAATTAAGAGGGGACCACGGCGGTTTGTTAAACAATCACCAATTCAAATCTCTTCCATTAGTAACACTTCGTGCAATTACAATTATCTTCCATTATGTAAGAGACATGAGTAACAGCTTGACGCAGACGTAGAAACGAGGAGGCCAATCGGATATCGTTCCGATGCCGACGAGCCCTGACAATAACAGGTAGAAAACAAGCTTGAATCCACAAGCCCTAGGTTTCTCAAACTTAAGAAGAAAAACAATGGAGAACAATTCTCTTGATTGAATAATTAAAAGTTAATTACTTAATTTACAAAATAAACTATTATTTATAGCCAACTAAACCTATCCTAACTCTAATAAAAAAGAAAGTCTGAATCTAAAAGAAAATAACCAAAAAGAAACTCTTCCCTAATTAAAAGGAAATAACCAAAAAGAACTATTTCCTAATCTAAAAGGAAATAACCAAAACAAACTCTTTCCTAATCTGATGTTCGAGTCGACACGGGTGCTTTTCTTCTTGTCTCGTTCAATGCTTGATCTCTTGTATCAGTCCCTCCTTCTTCAGAATAACTCGTCTCTGAGTTTGTATCACTCGAATACAACTTAATTGAAGGATGTTAATCAGAAATATCTGCCACGTTATATGTCACCGACATAGCCATTCATTCTGAAAGATCCACTACATATGCATTATCATTGATCTTCTTGAGAATATTGAACGGTCCATATCTTTTCGGCTTAAGCTTGCTGTATGTTCCAGCCGGCATCCATTCCTTCTGCAAGTAAACCATCACCACGTCTCCTTCATTAAACACCTTGAGTCGCCTCTTCTTGTGCAAACAATCCGTCATGAGAGCAACTATAGAACTGAAATTGCGAATAAAACGCCGATAAAAAGATGCTAATCCATGAAAGTTTCTTACTTCAGTAGCACTTTTTGGAGTCGGCCAATCCTTGATTGCTTTGACCTTATCTTCGTCGACTTGGATTCCCTGCGAGCTTACCACAAACCCCAAGAACACTAGCTGAGTCGTCAAAAACACGCACTTCTTAAGGTTGATGTAAAGCTCGTTCTCCTTTAGCACTCGGAAGACCTCTCGGAGATGCAACATATGTTCCTGCTCATCCTGACATTCGTAGAGGCTTTCACTACTCTTGAATGCAGTCTTCCACTCGTTGCCGGGTCGAATTCGGATCTGATGATATCCACTCCTAAAGTCGACTTTCAAAAAGATGCTCATGCCTCCCAACTGGTCTAACATGTCGTCTAGCCGAGGGATTGGGAACCTGTAGCGAATTGTAATCTTGTTAATGGTCCTACTATCCACACACATCCGCCAACTGTCATCCTTCTTTGGTGTCAATAGTGCTGGAACTGCGCATGGACTCATGCTCTCTCGGATGTGGCCTTTCTTAATAAGGTCCTCAATAGCATTCTGTAAAACCTTCTTTTCCTGCAGGTTCATGTGATAATTTGGGAGATTAGGAAGTACTTAACCCGGGATGAAATCAATATGGTACTGAATATCCCTCATGGGAGGTAGACCCTCTGGTAGCTCTTCAGGAATCAATACTTCGATCTCCTTAAGCAGCTACTTCATCTTCTCTGGGACCTCAATGAGTGTCTTCACTTCTTCTTTCACAACTAAAGCAAACCTCTGCTTTAACTCCTTTGACTCGGCCAGAAACACTCCCTTGTTACAAAGAGATGTACGTTTGGACTTTTGATCTTTGGGGCTCTTTGGAGAGGGTGGAATAAGGTGGTAGGATGATCTTTTTATTCATCCACATAAAAGAGTAATCGTTCTTCTTGCCGTCATGTTTAGCGTCAACATCATACTGCCACGGTCGTACCAACAATACATGGTACGTATCCATATCCATAACGTCACAAGTAACAGAATCACTATAAGTCTTTCCTAGTGATAGTGGTACGCGACATATTTCGGTCACCTTCACGGAGGGACCCTTCTTGATCCATCCTATGGTATAAGGTACATGCTTTTTTGTTTCAGTCGGCAGTTTTAAGTGATCCTCCAAAGCCTTTGACACAATATTCTTACAGCTTCTATTGTCAATGATGAGAGTGCACACCTTGTTGTTGACTGAACATCTAGAAAAGAAAATTTGATGTTGTTGTGATGAATCTGGAGTCTTCTGGGCGCATAGGAGTCGTTGAACAACACACGACATATTGTCTCTCTCTTAATCTCGACAACTTCTTCCTCGTACTCTTCTTCAGATGCAGTGTGTCTGTCCTCCACCTCTTCATAATCTACTAGATTATCCTTCCGCTGCTGCGGGCACTCGTTGGACTTGTGTCCTGGTTGGAGACATCGGAAGCACTTCCCTGCAGTCGACTTGTCATACGTATTTGCTTGAGTCGTCGGGGGTTGTGGTTGAGTTGTCGACCGCTCGGACTACCGTGGAGGAACATGCCGATCAGTCGTTCTTTGCTCGGCCGACTCACCTCTCGCCTTCTCGACCGAACCTCCCTGTTCGGCTTGCTTGAAAGGTAACGCCTTGGTGGCCAATCTTTCCGCCTTGAGAGCCATGTTATGGGCTACGTCCATAGAGTACACATTGTCGATAGCCACCTTCTCTTGAATTGAATACTTCAAACCTATGATATATTTGGCCGTGAGTTGCTCCTCACTCATCAACAAATCATAATGAGAAGTAAGACGGTAGAACTCTTCGGTATAAGCGCCTACTGATCTGATGCCTTGACGGTATTGCTCGAACTGGTTGTAAAGGATCTGTTGGTAGTCAGGTGGTAGGAACCTAGCCTGGAGTAATTGCTTCATACGTCGCCAAAACCGGACTGGTTGCTTACCTTGCCGTCACCTAGTTTTTTGAGTCTGATCCCACCATGCCGTGGCTCCTCCTTTGAGACAATATGCCACAAACTTCACTTGAATTGCTTCGGGTACATTAGTCATCTCAAAGAACTTTTCCACTTCATATAGTCAATCCGAGAAAGCCTCTATGTTCAGATTTCCTCCAAAGGAGGGGAGTTCAACCTTCATCCGGTACTCTTGGTCGTGGTGATGTCTGCCCTGTCGATGATAGTTACTATGAGGTTTGAAACCTCTACCTCGACCTCTACCATAAGGTCGCCCTCTTTCTTCTTCGCTCGAGACGTTTTCGTATTATGGTCCCTCAAATTGGGCATCATAATCCGCTCCTTCGTCACTGGATTTATCATGTGGAAGGGGTTGGTTGGGATGTCGTCTATGATGTGGAGGGGGTTGATATGGAGGAGGTTGATACGGAAGGGGCTGATATGGAGGGGTTTGGTTTGGACATGGTTGATATTAAGAGGGATGAACTAGAGGGGGTTGGGAATTGTACGGGGGTAGATGTCGGGGTAGCCTAACTCTGGGTTTGTTTAGGTGAATATCGTCGGCCAAATTATTCCCATTGTTAAGGTGAAGGGTAAGTCCTTCAATGGCTTGTTGAAGGTTCTGAAGAGATGCCTCCAACATGCCAAATCTTCCATCCATAGAATCCATCCTTGCGAAAAGATCCTATAGAAAAAGCTCCTTCTCGCCGTCAGCTGCCATTGTCGAGGATGTTGAAGCCGAAGCTCTGATACCACTTCACACAGACGTAGAAATGGGGAGGCCGATCGGATATCGTTCCGATGCTGACGAGCCCTGACAATAGCAGGTAGAAAACAAGCTTGAATCCACAAGTCCTAGGTTTCTCAAACTTGGGAAGAAAAAAAAATGAGAACAATTCTCTTGATTGAATAATTGTAAGTTAATTACTTGATTTACAAAAAGAACTATTATTTATAGCCAACTAAACCTATCCTAACTCTAATAAAGAAAAAGTCTGAATCAAAAAGGAAATAACCAAAAAGGAACTCTTTCCTAATCTAAAAGGAAATAACCAAAAATAACTATTTTCTAATCTAAAAGGAAATAACCAAAAAGGAACTCTTGACGCAGCACGGAAGTGATAACCTCGAAATCTACCAAGGGTGTTCTCTGAATCCACAAAGAACAATCTTCGAATCCACAAAGAACTTCGAATCCATGAAGAAAATATTAAAAAGAGAAATTTTATTAATGAAAAGTTATTCTCCTTTGGGGTTACATGACTCTTATTAAATAGGAAAAACAAATAAGACTCCTAGTAAGACTAGAATTATAAAAAAAATATCAAATTCTATCCTAAAAAGACTTTTTATAATAGAGGAAACAAATCATGAATCAAAATTGATTTTGTTTCTTAATCTAATTTGACTCTAAAATTGAATATATTTCCTAATCTATATTTCCTAATCTAAATAGACTCCAACTCAGATTAAGCGTCCTATATAAGTCTCCCCTGCTTGAAAAGAAGCTCGACCTTGAGCTTATATTTGTTTGAATAGTAACTTTATCAGTAAATATCTTTCTTAACCTACATCGATCAACATCCGTCTTGTACTTAGCATTGATTTTCTCCATATGTTCTTTTACGTTCTCGGTTAGGACTTCTTCTGAATCAAATTCATATATTATTCTTTCCGACATCATGTGTAGTTTATTGGCGGCATGTGGATGTGCAGTTGACTTTAAAAACTCCATAAAATATGTTCCATGTTCCTTCCTGTATTCTAGTGCTTGAAGTATCATCAAATTCTTTTTTAAATTGTTCACCAACTTTGCTTCTAGGGAAGAAAATCCCGCGTCATACTCCATACACACTTCTTTCATCTCCTTTGTCTCTAGCCCTCCACCAAGCAATTCACACATATCATCAATTGTCTCACTGCATAATTTATCCTTCTCCTCCATCGGGACAACATCAATATGTATAATATCACTCTCAACCCTTTTGAGAATATAATGCATATCATCCATCTTCACTATCATATCACCATAATGAATCTT